CGAACGTTTACTACATCTATTGAACGCGCCTTCTATCTCGCCTTCGTTTCTAATAACGAGATTTTCTATTAGCTAGAATAACGATTCGAGTTGTCTTCGATCACATTACCTGAGGCTAACAATCGTGAAACATAGATAGATATTGGCCCTATTTTTTTTCTTCCTTTTTTTTCTTTTTTTTTTTTTGTTAAATCAAGTATTGCATTGTCAATGAAAATTTATTGTTCCTGAATCTTAAGACATTATTTTACTCGAATTTTATTTCAATTAAAAAAAAGAGTTTCTTTTCTTTTCTCTTCTTCTTCTTCTTCTTCTTCTTCTTCTTCTTCTTCTTCTTCTTCTTCTTCTTCTTGTAAAAACATGAAAGTAACTTGGTCAATTTTTTGAATTTTCTGATGAAATATTAAATCTTTTAAATTTTCCGATGATATTTTCATAGAATACTCTTAAAGATTGACGTTATAGAATAAAAATATATATAACAAAAATAAAAAAAATCGATGTTTTTTAACTTTCTAAATGTACGCAAGTATCTTTAAAGAATATATATATATTTAATATAAAATAAGACAAAAGTTAGACGGAGGATATTAATTATCAGTATATTAATACGTCTTCCTTATAATAATCATGATTCTTCCCCCGAAATACGGGTGATGGGATAGGTGGTTAGATAGATCGATTACACTTCCTTCGAAACTACGTACTAAACAAGCTTCGTAGGAAGTACGAGGCCAATTAGCTCGACAGTACTTGTGTTGCGTTACAATATCGTATTAATAAACTTTACAACGCAAGTAATATTAATTGCCCTGGTCTCGTAGAGATCGTTCCTTACATTTATATCCATGAACATAACAACGACTGAAAGTTGATGTTATGATATTTAGAATGACCAGGAAACGAATAACAATTTTTCATATACCTACATTGAACGTATTTAAACTGTTTGCGATCGGTGGATAGTAATTTTCAAGTGAAAAAAATTAAAAGGAAAATATTTTTTGCGTGCAGATACGCTCCCCTTCACGATTGGCTTCGCGATAGATTATCGCGTGGGCGTAACTAATATAAAGTTCAAGAACACAAGTTCCGTCTTCTCTTCAAGAGAAGTATCTACCTACATACATCTATACCTACCTTCCGATTCGATCGATTTTCTAGCGGTAGAACTTTGGAATCCGAACGGTTAGCACGGCAGTGCTAAAGATCCTTCAATGTGATATCTAACATTGGATAGACTTCGTGATCGACGATCCAGAGAGAGAAAGACGTACGTACATATGTCGAAAATAGGATTGTTCAAGGCCGGATCGTTAGCGACTTCGAAAGATCAAAGATAAAACTAGTAGGTAGGTAGGTAGATAGGTAGGTAGGTAGGTAGGTAGGTAGGTAGGTAGGTATGAAAGTAGATATTATTCGACAACTCGAATATCCGGATATTCATGAATATCCGGATAACGTTCGAACATGCGTTTCAAACTCTCAATGAAATTTATTCTACGTGTGTCACATCGTAATTTCTCCCATTTTCCGATCGGTCAACTGATTCTTCTCAAGTGAATATTTATTAACGTCGGAAACATATCTACATATGTCTCCTGTTATATGGGTCATGTGAACACGTACACGTTATCTTCTCTTTTAGATTTCGATCAAGATGAAGACAATGAAGAAAAGGAAGAAAAAAAAGTAACAAAGTATAGAACAATCATCCGATAGATTGTCAAGACAACAACGACGATAACGCATAGTCGTTAGGTTGTTACCGTCGATAAACAGTATGAAAGCGATGAAAATTAACCGTTCGGCCAAGGCTAGAGAAAATAGAAGAATAGAGAGAAAGAGAGAGAGAGAGAGAGAGAAAGAGGGTGGGAGGGTAAGAGAGAAAGAGAGAGAGAGAGAGTGCAAGAGAAAAAGGGAGAGAGAGAGAAGGATGGTTGCAGGTCGTAGCGTACACGATAATTAGGTTTCACTCGCTTTGCTTTAATAATCCAGGCAACATGCAAAGTGCATCGTCATAGTCCTTGCACGGCTGGAAATGCGTCGGAGGCCGAGTTTGGCTCCTGTGTACCACGACATTAACGTTGTCGCTCGCCACTCGCTCCAGGCTCCGAGGTGAACCTTGCTACGGAAAGGATATGAGAGAGAGAGAGAGAGCGAGAGAATGTGTGTGTGTGTGTAAGAGTGAGAGAGAGAGAGAGAATGAGAGTGAGAAAGACAGTTTGCTGACAAATTTTGCAAGGACAGCCGGAATTATTAATGCGATGGTTCCTACCTACGTAATCGGGACGAAGCTCTGAATTAGTGGCGTTCCAAAGCAAGACACGGACTGCGAAAAGCGAATACCAATCGAGATAATGAAAATTAACGACGTTTAAACGATGACCTCGGTGCAATTAATTATAGTCCCTCGTTTCCTGTCCTGCCGATATCGTCGCTTTCTCTCTATGCCCTAAAACTCGTGATTTTCTTCTGATCTTCTCAGCTTGTTTAAGTTGTCTAACAAGTCTAGCATGTGTGTGTATGTGTGTGTGTGTATGTGTGTGTGTATATATATATACGTTAGATAATCAAATAAACTACATCCTACTTTATTTGATGATCTCTTCCAATTATAAAAATTATCCTGAAAATTGAAGAAAGAAAACGAAATTTCAAACGAGAGGGAGAGAGAGAGAGAGAGAGAGAGAGAAAGATAGAGAAAAAGTTCGGGTTATATGCAATTGATTTTTTTAAAAATAATAAGACAAATGAACTGATATATCTTTCTATAAATGGAGATATATTTTTTATTTTAACCTGTTAATCGTATAAATTTATTTTAAAAACGTATATATACGTTATGTGGCAAAAATTAAAGATGACGAATTTACTGATCAAGCACAAAATATATATAACCACTGTACAATTGAATGAAATTATTCAAAAATAGTGATTTTTTGAAGGATTAATAATTTTATTGTTTGAACTCATAAATATTATGAACAAAACACAAATCTGTCCTATTCTATCCCCCGTACAATTCTCGAACGAGAGAGGCAAAGATTTAAAATATCATAGATTGCTATTTCAGCGAATGAAAATTATTTAGCAATGAATGATAGTAAATATTGGAACTGTAACCATTTCTCCGTGTTCATTCTGTTAGACTTTTTCTAAATATTTTATCTATCACGCTGTGCGGAATTTTTTTTGTTTTCAAATGAATTAAAAAATATTTTTTTATGGCTTTTTATTTCGCCGTTGTCCCCAAACATTCTAAAATATCTTTAAATTTACGAATATACATAATTAGCAATACAATTTTAATTTAAAATATTGATAAATGATAATTTCTTTTGGCATAACTTCGTAACACAAAAAAAAATTGCCATTTCTTCGCAACGAGTATACTTGCAACGAATACAGTTAACAGATTAAGGGGCACTGTTACGTATTTTTACGCGTCGGAAAGAAGATCCAAGAGGTGGCTCGATTGTTTATCAAATTCCACGATACGATCTAATGGTTAGAGCTTGAAAGCTTTGGTGGTACCTACTTACTCACGATCGGAGAACTCGTTGTTCGTACGAGTCCTCTGCCAAGGCTCGTATATCAAACGCTCTTGGTAGACTGAGCCAAGTGTAACGAACTTTCCTTATCTCGTTCACTCTTCACCGGATTTTCGTTTATCTTTCTCTTTTCTCTCTCTCTCTCTCTCTCTCTCTCTCTCTCCCTCTCTTCCTCTAGTATCTTTTCGTCATGTCGACCGAATAGATTTTCATTTTCCTATCTCAAACGAAGAAATTTTTATAGAGATAAATGATCTTGTTTATTATATTAATGGGGAGTACATCAAAATGTCTTTTAACATGTCGATTAATTAAATTTTGAGTAAAAAGTTGAATAAAAATTGCTATGAAAGTTTTTTATCTTATAAAAAAAAAAAAAGAAAAAAAAGAAAAAAATAAAAAAAGAATTTTATAGATTAACATTATATTCATTTCGATAGATCCTATATACATACGTATATATGTATGTATACTTCATAGAATAAAATATATCGTTTCTCTTCCTAGTCTGGTATTTATATTAAAGAAACGTCTATCTCTCGTTGTGTTGTAAATCAAGAAAACAGACATTTACATATATGAGAGAAATACTGATGTTACATTCATAGAAAATTTATCGCTTGTTTTTTATTGGTCCCTTTTAAATGTGCTTAATTTATGAAATAAAATCGATAACGGCTGTGCTACTGTAAGAGTATAGAACGATTCCTAAAAAGAAATATAAAAGCGTATTATTGAAGAGGTTTTTAATCGCGAAATGTCACTTCTTTGACTACAAAGTAAACGGTAGTCGGGAAGAGAATTTAAAAAGAAGAAAAATCGAACGATATAACATTGGCTCGCATATTTTACACTGGACATCACATATAGATTATATAATCGATATTATTCCCTTTTATCGTTCCTACAACGAACAGGATACGTTTGTGATAGATGCTACGCATTGTGGTAATTCGATCAAAGCGTTTCCGATGCTCTCTTCGAGCTTTTATTACTCTTTCGATATCCACATATTTCATTATTCGATGAAAATAATAATAAACCAAAATAAATTTTCAAAAGATAACAGTTGCTTTAGAACTTTCTCCTTCGTTTTTATATTATTAAACGATTATGAATTTAATGATCCTAAATTAAAAGTGATTAATAAATTTCTCGAATTAATTCTTTTCAACGAATAGATTTGTTGATTTGATATTTTAGATCTCTCTCTCTCTCTTTCTCTCTCTTTCTCTCTCATGTGTACCATACATCTGTTCTTTAGAAGAAACCGCCGGACGGAAGACACGTGCTATGCATGTGTTACGAATAAGTCGTAAAAAAAGATGATCTTTTGATAACAAATACCTATCGATAGAACTACGTAAATATTATTATTTAAATATATATACTATATATTTACATATATACTATTAATTTTTTTTTTTAAATATTACAAGAAAAAACTTGCATTACCGTAATCGAATTTTATTCTTTCAAAAATCGCTTAAATTCATTAATTGTTAAATCAGTAGCTACAACATCGATAAACATATATTGAGGATCATTAGTATCCGGTTCTAAATTTAATACCGTTGTCCATTTGTATAACCACGATGATGCTAAACTTCCAGACTTTACTCTAATACGTTTCACTGACCTACCTGTTACTTTGAAAATTTCTTGTTCTAATTTTAATTTTAATTCATCAATGCCTGTAAACAATCAACCGATAAAAAGTCAGTAATAATATATTATCTCTAGTCAAATTTACCTCTTAAATCTTTACAGGAAATAGCAATTGTATTTTCATCTATGTCAACCTTATCAATAAGATCACATTTATTAGCCACATATATTATTGATTGGTTTTCATTTAACATAGGTTTTATTATTTTTTCTACATGTTGAAATTGTGCCTTCATGTCAGGATGACTAATATCAAAGACATGTACAATAACATCCTGCAACATATTAATAACTATTATATCTGTATGAGACAAAAAATTTAATATTAAAAAACTGATATATACAGAGATTATAGCATCTTCAAGAGTAACTATAAATGGTGCTAGTAACATTTCTGGTACATCTTGAATAAAACCTATTGTATCCATATATAACACCTTCTGTCTACATGGAAGTAACCCTTCGTAAGAAATTGTGTCCAATGTGGCAAACAATTGATTTCTTGGTTTTAAGCTTTCATCTTCTGATAATATTTTTATTAAAGATGATTTTCCAGCATTTGTATATCCAATCACAGTTATACTTGGAAAACCAAATTTTTTTCTCCGATTCCTACTGTCTTTTTTATTTTCCTTCAATTTCTCTAATGCCTTTTTTAGCTTGGATTCACGTGCTTTCAACAATTTTTTCCTATTTTCATCAAAATTGATTTGACCACTGTGTTGATCATAAACTTCACCCATTTTCTTCCAAATATATGGCAATTCAGCCAAAGCTACCTGTAATTGTGCTTCAGGAGTTTTAGCATGTTCACGAAATATATGTATGATTATTGAATATCGATCATAAATAGGCAAACCTAAAACATTTTGAAGTTCCATTCTTTGTATATGTTTTAATAAATTTATGCTAATAAATATAGCTGTAATTTCTTTGTTTTTTTTAATTTGTTTCACAAGATTATCAAGTCCACCTGAACCCAATAAATATTTTTTTTGAAATGACAATAATGGAGCAAATGTTTTATCTATTACAGTCCAATATGGTAAACTCTCTACGAGTGCTACTGATTCAGCCATTTGCAATTCTGGTGTAGTATTCTTTTTCTTATCTTTACCCCATTTTATATATGGTTGCAATAAAAAAACTTTATGCCCTCCAGCTATTACTCCAAGATACTGATTAGAAATTTCTTTGTATAATTCATGCTCTTCTTCGGTTTCAATAAATTCTAATACTTCTGTAGTATGTTTGAATTTACATAAAACATTACATATTGCTGAGTCTATTTTTTTATGCATTAAATACATGCTTTTGTTCAACAAAGTTTTATTTAATCGAACATGAAAGAGAGATCTTAAAGTGTACATTTTGATTTTTTTTTTCTTTTTTTTTTTTTTTAATCTTTTAGAAAAAAATATGTAGAAGAATTTATATTTGTTTACATGTATAAAACTGCATTGAATTGATCAGACTTGGAAATAAAAAGAAATTAATTCAACAAAAAACAATATGTAGAAAATAATATTAATGATATAAATAACGTTTAAAGTTGTACGAAACACAACATAACCTCTTTTTCATAGTTACTAAGAATTAATTAATAAGTATCACTCATGTGAAGTGTCAATTCATTCATATTCGAGTTTTTCTAATGTTCAAGATGTACTCAAAAGTAGAATAATACTTGTTTACTAACAGTTTAATTGTTTTCATTGTTTTGATTTACCACCTTTCTATGCATATCTCTTTACAATGTAACTATGATGTATTTCCATAATATGCATTTTAAAATCACGAAAATATACGGTAGATGCTTGTAAACATCAATCGATGAAAAATACGTATCAGCCTTAAGGATTGTGATTCACTATATATAGAGATTATATCTCTATATTCACTACCTATTTAGAGACCATGCGTATACCATCTCTCAACTTTCCTTTAACAATGACTTTACAAAAGACTGTCATTGATAATAGTCAGACATATTTGTAGGAAGCTGTATTTTGTTTTGCTTGTACGTAAATATAAACGCTTTTTTAAAATTGTACTTGATAAAACAAAATTTTAGTAATCATATTTTTTAATAATAATGGTATAATTGTAATCATCAATTTAATTATTAAGTTCCTTTGAGTTAAGTTGTACAGTTATATATTGTTATATTGTGTCATATTTATTCTAAGAAATCTTATATATTGTAGATTTTAGAGATAAGAAGTAATTATTCAGGTATAGATTTTAATTATTATATATTACTTTATAAATCTTAATTACTAATAATTTCATGCTATTTTCATTTGTTATATTATATTATTCTTTATATATAGATTTGATTTTTTTTTCTTTTTATTTCTACATATACTGTTTGATAATATATTTCTTTATATATGGATCATTATGATTTCATTTAATAATTTTTATTTTAAACAAATTTACAGCTTTTTGTGATGTAATTGGATACATTTAGTGACCGAAATATGGATTCACAAGAACAGCATTCATCTGATTTCATTAATGTTAGTCATAAATCAAATTCATTGTCAAAAAACGACTTTGAAAGTCTTGGTTTTGTTATTGACAATGGCAAGCCCAGATTTAAATTGGATGAGCCTGTATCTACAAATTTTCTTCCAAATATCGAATTGACGAAGTCAGAGGATTCTCTCGATGACAGCGACACATTATCTTTTGTCATACTGGGAAAGAAATCGTTAGATTCTATACAAGCATCGTCTTTAGCAACATACTCCGATATTCAACAAAAATGCATGTCAATTGTAAGATATGAATACTGGGAATTAATTTATTATGTAAGATGTTTCATAAATTATTAATATTTAATATTTTGTAGGATTATAATTCAATAATATCATCTTTAAATTCTTCTGAAATACAACAAAAGTTAGCAGAATTGTTACAGGAGAATGTCAAATTAAAAGAAACATTAAAACAAAATACTATAGCTATGAAACAACAATTTAATACTTTAGTAACATGGCAAGAAGAGGTAATGAATGTTCACAAAAATCATAAGCAAAAGTTTAAAGAAACCAGACAATTGATCAATGTTCTTAAACAAGAGAATGCTGAATTGAAATTAAAACTTTGTGTAAGTTAATTAAAAATTATAGAAGAATAAGAAAATAACTAAAATAAATTAATAGATTTATTCTATTCTAATGTCTTAAATTAATAAATATTAAACACTTTATACAGGTTGTAAATATAGATGATACAATGGTTGGCAATACGAAGGAATTTAGTAATTCAATTCATTTAAATCAGTTGCAAAAGAAAATATCCTCTTTGACGGATGAACTATGTAATTTTAAATCCAATTGTGCAAAATTATCTGAAGATGTTGAAAAATATATCAGTTTACCAAGCATGACGAATATGCAATTGAAAGAAACTAGTTACACAACAGAAGAGCAAAATCTTAAAGCAAAAGAACTTGAAGAGCAAGATCTTAAAATAAATGAACCTGAAGAGCAAAATCTTAAAAGAAATGAACCTGAAGAGCAAAATCTTGAAAAAAATAAACCTGAAATAGGTGGTAATACAGATCAAGTTCAAGTTAAAGAAATAAGTCAGCTTAATAATTCGCTCAAAGATGATATAAAATCGGTAAGGAAGTTTAATAATTTCCTTATATATTAATATATATATATATTAATATATGATTTGTTTAGATCTTTTTTCTTTTCAATATATTTTCCATTAATAATATAAACCTTTTTTCTAGCTGCATTGTTCCATAAATCTTAATATGACACAAATATCAGATCACATATCTCCACAAAGTCATTACTTTACACAAAGTATAAAACAATATGGAGAAATGTTACAGGAAATGACTGATTGTTTCATTGCACAAATTTCTCGGTATTCTGCTATACAAAAATGTATAAAGGAATGTATAAATATATTAGATGCTTGTGAAACTATAAAATTACCTGAACATTGTGATACAGTTGAAGAAAACTGGTCACTACAACTTGAGCAGCTACAAATTTACAAAGATAAGTTATCAGTCTATCAGAAAACGTTACATGAAGAACAATTAAAATTAATAATCGATAGACAAAGTTTTATTAAGATTCAGAACCAATTTCAGAAAGTATTTTCAGATTATAATTCCATTTTGTATGAATTACAAATAATATCAGAAGAGAACATTAGATTAAATATATTGAAAGATAATATCTCTAAGGAAAGTTCACAAAAAATAACTGAATTAGAGAAACATAAAAATGAAAATGAACAAAAATTCAATGATATTAAAGCTATTTTAGAGCAAGAAAGAGAAACTTGGAGCGAACAAAAAAAGTTATTTGATAATCTTAGAAAAACTTTAAATATGGAATACAAACGCTTAATTGATCAAAAAGAAATGCTCTTTAGTTTACACCAGGAAAAAGCATTAGTGGACAAACAATGTCAATTACATAAGAGTAATGAAGAACTTTTACAAGCAGAAAAAGAAACATTGGAACAAAAATGTAAACAATTGATTGTTGATGCAGATACTTTACGTATTCAATTAGAAGAGAAAGAAAATGCTCTTATACAACTCAGTTTGATTAAAAAAGAACTAGATAAAGAACTAATGCAACAAGTAAGTGAATTTTACTTTTATTTTTTATATATTTAATTATATTATACGATTAAAATGTTAGCAGATATAAGATATCATTCATACTTAATCATTTGTATTTTCATATTGAATACAGAAAAATGATATAGAGCTTCTAAAAATACAAATATTGTATAATGAAGAAGATTTTAATTCTGAGAAGAAAGCTAAAGAGGAATTATTACTTGAAAGAAATCAACTACAGAAAGAATTAGAAAATGCTTATAAACAAACGGAACATTCATATTATGGAGATTTAGAATAAAAGTAAACTTCTGCAAGAAAAAGAAATTTCTTTTATATTTTAAAGAAAAAAAGCAAGTATTTTAATTTAATATTAATCTATATCATGCCATAAATCTATTAATTATGTTGTTTATAGCATAAATTTTAAATTCATAAATATATACAATCAATAATTATTATGTTTAAAATATTCAATTAGATTTGAGTTTCACTTTATTTATAAATTATTAATAAAAATAATAGATTTATGTCATAAATAATACTATTTTAGTATTTATAGGTCACACATTTTTTTTTAAGCTTTTAATAATTTGTACAATATTTTTTTCAAAATTTATAATTAATTAATACAAGAAAAATTTTAATTATATATTAATTCATGCAGATTAACAATAAAATAAAAATTCTTTCTTTTATATAATTTATTTAATATCTTTCCTTATCTAATATCCAGTATGTGATAAGTAAAGGATAATATATTATCATACAAGATAAGTTTGATTGGTTTAAAACATAATAACCAAATATCATTATATCTTTATTTTATTATTTATTTTTTTATACAATATTGATACTTATACAATTTTAGATAATAAAATAATATATATACAAACTGTGTGCGTGTGTATTTATGTGTATGTGTTTGTGTATGTGCATATTTAATTGTTATTTAAGATTACATAGCATGAGAAATTATTTTTTTATTTTACATATTAGTCTTATGAAATCCTAAATAGTGCAAAGACAAAGAAATATATACATAAAAAAAAATAAAATAATATATATTTTTCTTTTACACTATATTTAAGAACACAATGATAAATATGCTGTAAACAAAATATCAATGTAAACTATGAATTAAAGATATATGGTATTATATTGTGTTTGTATGTAGCATATTTTATTACCTATTGTATACTTATAATGTAATAAAAGAATCTTCATTCAAAAAATAGAATCCATTATTTTCATTCTATATGTATTGAATTCGCTGCTGTTTCTTTCTCTCTCTCTTACTCTGTTTTTCTCTTTCTTTCTCTCTCTCTATGTGTGTGCGTGTGTGCGCGCGCGCGTGTATGTATGTATTAAATTACATAAAGATTTTTTTTTTTTTTTTATATAACACTTTGCAAAGTTTAGTTGCACGTAAGCAATTAAAACTAAGTTCGTAAAAATATTTGATTAGATAATCTTATACAAAGTAAAAATAATTTGTAAAATAAATATTATTCTAGCACTTACGATAGCATAAGTACAGTACAACAACGTGGAAAAATGCTGAATAGCGCCATAGTATATTTCATGTTGGTAAGAAATATACATATATATACGTGCATACATATGTGCGCGCGTGCGTTGTGCAAAATGCATTTTCATAACGTAAAGTAAAGCATTACGTGACCAATAGAACATCGATAGCTTTGAAAATACAACGTGCGGTAGCGCACTGTTCAGTGTTAAATTTTCCGTCATTTTTATTTCTTTTTAAAAATATTTTCGAACAAATAAGACGTTGCAAACATTGTTCAATTGTGTATATATATATATTATTATTATTATTTTTCTTTTCTTTTTTCTTTAATATATTTTTCTGATAGATACACCTCTTATATGATACATTTACGATAAGAATTTCTAACAATTCATTGTTTTTGTTGTTTCGTCAGTTTTCCTTTTTTCACAACGATACTTCGTACGTCTTCCACAAATGTATTATTAATGTATTCGCGATATCTATTTTTTCTCATCCTTGTAATTTAGTTTATAAAGATCGAGTAAGTACATTATAATGTATATATCAATGATATATATCAATATTTTATTTTATTTATCTTTTCATCATTTAAAGTAAATTTATTTCACTTGTTTACTATATATATATATATATATATATATATATATATATATATATTATATATTATATATATAAATTTTTTTTTATAATTTAATTCCAAAATAATATATTTACTTTTTTTCACTATATATAATCTGTATAAAAGAGCCGTATAAAAAATTATGATACTTGTTTTACATGCTAATTTTTTTTATTTTTACAAATTATTAAATACAGATATATATTCTTATAGGAAAGAAATGAATAACAGAAATTAAAGAAAATTCTATAAAATAATGTGACATATCCATTGTTTTTAGAAAAAAAAAAAATTATTGTCATCAATTCTTCTATGTAGAGTAATTTAAAATGTCTGAAAAAAGTCAAACTAGTCAACCACAACCTATCGTTAAGATAGGTCATTATACATTAGGACAAACTTTAGGTGTTGGTACATTTGGTAAAGTAAAAAGTATGTATACAGTTAAATCATAATAAAAAATATGTATATAATTAAATACTTTATATTTATTCAATTGTTTTATAAAATTCTTTCAGTTGGTGAACATGTTTTAACAAAGCATAAAGTTGCAGTAAAAATTCTAAATCGGCAAAAAATTAAAAGTTTGGATGTAGTGGGTAAAATAAGACGGGAGATACAAAATTTGAAATTATTTAGGCACCCTCATATTATTAAATTGTAAGAAGAAGAATTCACTTCTTATATTCCATTACTTGAAACTATTACATGTCTTTTATTACTTACAATATACAGATATCAAGTCATAAGTACACCAACAGATATATTTATGATTATGGAATATGTCTCTGGAGGGGAGTTATTTGATTATATTGTAAAACATGGAAAACTGAAGGAGCATGAAGCACGAAGATTTTTTCAACAAATTATTTCTGGCGTTGACTATTGTCACAGACACATGATAGTTCATCGTGACTTAAAGCCAGAAAATCTTCTTTTAGATCATAATCTTCATGTGAAGATAGCAGATTTTGGTATATTTTCCTTTGTAATTTCAGTTTATGTTGATAATTATTATATTAACAGGAAGTAGTCTGAATGAATAATTGAGAAAATATATCATATATAATTTAAATAAATTTAGGTCTATCAAATATGATGATGGATGGAGAATTTCTACGTACGTCATGTGGTTCACCAAATTATGCTGCGCCTGAAGTAATATCTGGAAAATTATATGCTGGTCCTGAAGTAGATATTTGGTCATGCGGAGTTATATTATATGCTTTACTTTGTGGTACATTACCATTTGATGATGAACATGTGCCTACATTATTTCGTAAAATAAAATGTATGTATCATATATTTACCATAATTTTAATTTCTTAAAAATCAAATGTCAAACATTTCTTTTATAGCTGGAATTTTTCCTATTCCGGAATACTTAAATAAAAGTGTTGTTAGTCTACTATGCCATATGCTTCAGGTTGATCCTATGAAAAGGGCTACAATTGAAGATATAAAGTATACATTTTTTTCAAGAAATAATTATTTTTTTATAAAAGATATAATATTGATATATATATATATAATATAATATAAAAGGCAAACTCTAATGAGATAAACATCTTAATTACAGGAAACATGAATGGTTTCAAAAAGATTTGCCGTCATATTTATTTCCATCGCCTGTAGAACAAGATTCTTCTGTGATTGATATAGATGCCATTAATGAAGTTTGCGAAAAGTTTAATGTGAAGGAAGCAGAAGTTCATTCTGCCTTACTTGGTGGTGATCCACATGATCAACTGGCAATTGCTTATCATTTGATTATTGATAATAAAAGAATTGCCGATGAAGCTGCTAAAGCAGAATTAAAAGACTTTTATGTGGCATCAAGTCCACCACCAGTTACATTTAGTCCAAGTGATGCTAATAGCAGTCCGCTAAGACCTCATCCAGAAAGAATTGCTCGTGAGTAAAGAATGTTATTATGATATTTTACAATTTATATTAAAATTAAAGAATTATTATAATACTATATTAATTAAATTTTTTAAATGTAGCATTAAGACAATCCTCGCAAAGTTCATCCGCATCAATGCAAGGAAGTAGAGGTACACCAGTGAAACGAGCAAAATGGCATTTAGGAATAAGATCACAGTCCAAACCAAATGATATCATGAACGAAGTTTACCGTGCAATGAAGGCACTTAATTTTGTAAGAATTATTTTGGTACAATGCAATTTCTTTATTTATGTCTTTAATATAATTAAATAATATTTATTTAGGAATGGAAAATAATAAATGCATACAGTGTTAAAGTTAGACAGAAAAATAAATTAACTAGCAGATATAGTAAAATGTCGTTACAGCTTTATCAAGTTGATTGTAAGAGTTATCTGTTAGATTTTAAATCTTTATCCAGTGAAGAAACAGAAGATATTAGCAGAGGTATACGAAATTAAATTAATTGCGGCTTTTTCAATGAGCATTGTTAATGTATTTAAATTTTAGATCCTTCTTTGCCACCACCTCAAGCAACTGGCCATCATACTATGGAATTTTTTGAAATGTGTGCTGCATTAATTACACAATTAGCACGGTAAAGTGACTTCTGTTACATATATTTTACATTATTTTAAATATTGGTAAAATATCTTCTGTAACTGCTAAAAAATTATTATAAAATAATGAAATTTCTGTACGAGATATATGTGTATAGTGAGAAATGGATAGTCCCTTTATTTTATTATATATATCAGTATTTTAAAATCTTTATGAGAGGTCATCAAATCTTGTTTAGTTTAATACTATATTTGATTAATGATAATATTTTTATGTAATTTCGTAATATTGTAAATATCAAAATTTTATTATTTACAATTAGAAACAAAGTTATCGTGTTATTGACGATCGAGTACTTTTAAAATGAAAAAATCAAATATCGATTAATTTTAAATTATAATCAATACGACATTTATAACATTTAATTTAATTTAATTTAATTTAATTTAATTTAATTTAATTTAATTTAATTTAATTTAACTTAATTTAATTTAATTTAATACAAATATGGTAATATAAAAAAGAAATTTTATTGTCTGATGTAACTGTCATTTATTGATATATGCAATGATGGAATAATACATTATAAATTTTATGTTATTGCGCTATTACTTACCTACCTCATACAGCATTAATCTATCAGTACATTCGTTTGCTA